AACACAGCGCTGCACAACATCCTGCAGGCAGCTGCCTACAAGCTGGAGCAGCACCCCGAGCTGGTAGTGCGAGCCCTGCTCAACCACGGCGCCGTCCGCATCTGGCCCGGAGCGCTCCTGAAGGTGCGGGCTGGGGAGGGAGGGCTGAGCAGGGGTGGTCCCGGGGCAGCAGGGCGTGTTCTGTGCCTGCCCGCTTGCAGTCCTGCCTGTCTCTTTCCGGGGGCTGGGAGGGGAGAATTAGCATGACTAGTAGGCAGTTCCCTGAAGTTTTCTGCTGGGACAGGTCCTCTGCAGGACTCTCCTGCTTCTGTCTGATGAGCTGCGTGGACAGTACTTAGCCAGTTTCCATCACTACTTTTCCTGGGAAGTGCTGACCCTTTTCCTCTCAGGGGATGCTTCTTCCTTGGGACAAACCCTCCAGCTCATGCTGTCTTTGGCAAGACATCAGCAATCAAAGGGTTAATTTCCTGTCTTAATTCTTGAGCAGTGCAATAATTACCCAGCCCGGAGATCAGCAGATTGCTCTCCCCTTTGGGAAAATACAGGAAAATCAACAATTAACACTAATTAATCTCCTATTAACGCCAGATAATGAGGATCACTGGTACAGCCGGAATAGATGCTGACAGCTACTGCTGGCCTGGGCCACGGGGAGTGGGAGCCAAGAGCCAGGGACCTGCCTGGGTGCTGCAATGCACGGTGGGGTGAGACACAGCACTGTGTCCCTTGCACCTACATGGACGTGGTACACACCAGAGATGTGTGGCACAAGCCATTGGTGATGGGTAGTAGCTAACGGGAGCACAGGACTTCTTAGGACTCTCTCACACACAGCACAGACACAGGCTGTCTGTGCAGCCCTAAGCCCACCAGGCACAGTACATCCTGGAGACCCCTGTGAAGCCCTCAACAGAGCCAGAGGATGGCCTAGTCTTGCTGCACAGAAAATAGATGTCAGTCCTTGCCCCAGAATGGCTTGTGCTCTAACTAGACTAATGTAAGGAGAGGGGCTTGGCACAAAGCAATGTTGGCTGCTTATGACTGTTTGCAGTGGTGAGGCAGATGAAGGTGTGTGTCCCAGCTGTGTGTGAGTCCCTCTGTCTGAGGAGGGGCTGTGGGAACCCAGCTGTGCCCACACCCAGCTGTGCTGGGTGTTGCTCAGTCCCCCCCTTTGCAGGAGCAGTGCTCTGGCATTTCCCACTGTCAGCAGGTCTGATCTTCTGTGACAACACGGGGGAAGGACCTGAGTTCCCTGGGTTTGCAGGACTGATTCTGAGCAGTGGTGGAAGTGTGGCTGGCAGGCCCTGCCCACGGGCTGTCTCCCCGCAGGTGCTGCGGTGCTGCCACTCCTGCCCCCGCCTCATCGAGGCCCTGATCAACAGCTATGACCGCGTGCGCGTCTCTGCCGACTGGGTGGGAGCGGTGCCAGCAGAGGTGGTGCAGGTGAGGGGGCCCTGCGTGCTGGCTGGGGGCTGCAGGAGGGCACCAGAGGGGCAGGACTGGGCTGGAGGAGACCTGCAGAGCACTGGGGTGATGCTGCTAGAGGACAGGGAGGTGCACCATACTAATTAAGGTAAGGGGGTGTCTGGTTCTGTCTCTGCTCCCAAGGTGAGACCCTCAGCTTTGTCTCCTCTTCTCTCTCTGTAGAAATACCCACGTTTCTACCAATCCCTCTTCTCCCTGGAGCACAGACCTCGCTCCTTGCAGCACCTGGCCCGCTGCACGCTCAGGACCTTCCTGGAGGGACGGTTGCTTCTGGTCCTGCCTCAGCTGCACCCG